GTGAAAAACGAGTGTTTGCATCCCCTTCTTTGAGTAACTTAATTCTCGATCTTTGCCTTTTCCTTGCCCGCTCGAGAACCGCCAAGGCCACAACCTTTCTCTTAAGATCCTTTCTCAGGTTTCATTCACCCGTTGACAGTGTCCTTTGTTCTTGCGTGATGTCGAGACGGAGGATGATCTCAAGGGCCATGTGGAGCTGGATTTTGTGGTTCGAGAAAATGGACCTGCTCCACTTGCGAAGACACCGACTTGTTCTCTTGAGCTTGTGAAAAAGCACCTGATAGGGCTCAGAGTGGGTGGTTTCCTCATTCCAGGCATCCTGGATGATCTTCTTGAAGTTAGGCATTTTAGTCCAGAAGTTTTCAAAATGGAAAGATTTTGGCCGTTTTGGCCCCTTGTTGCTAGCTAACAGTAGCGGGCAATGGTCCGAGAGCAAGGACGACAGGGCATGGAGGATGTGTGTGCCGAAATCTAGGTCCAATTCCTCATTGCAAAAAAAAAGAGTCTAATTTGCTCAAAGTCGGGTTAGTCTGTTCGTTGCTCCAAGTGAACTTTCGATTTTGTAGATGGATTTCTTTCAGCTCACAGGAGTTAAGGGCATTTCGAAAACGCACTAAACGAGTGCGGTCCAGATTTGTAAGGTTTTTGTCCTGAGCACGATAAACTTGGTTGAAGTCTCCCGTCACTAGCCATCTAGTGCCCTGTGCAGGCTTGAGGCTCACAAGCTCTTGGAAGAAAGAGTCTTTCAGATTACTTCTTGTAGGCCCATGGACTGAAGTGAGTTTGAAGGAGATGGAAGTATTGACAATAGAAATGTTCGCAGAGATGCAAAATGTACCAACTTAGATGCCGTCCACCTTCATGTAGTCTTCATTCCAGAGAATAAGAATTCCTCCCTTAATGCAGTTGAGACATCTATTTTGAAACAGAGGGAGTACTTCCGAGAGCCAAGACGGCCCTCCACATTCTGCATTCCCTACCTATCCAAACACCACCCCTAAAAAAAACTACCCATACACCAAACTTCTAATCCAAGAATAGGGGTGGACTAACGAGTAGCTCGGCTCGTTAAGCTCGTACTCGCTAAGCTCGCGCTCGTTAAGGCTCGGCTCGTTAAGCTCGTTAAGATTAACGAGCAGAAAACCCTGCTCGGCTCGGCTCGTTTGAAGCTCGTTAAGCTCGTGAGCACTCGTGAGCACTCGCGAGCGCTCGTTAACAGATTATAATGTGTTATGATATACATGATGAATGTGTAGGTATGGTTTTCAAGATGAAATATGGTGACTACAAAAAGAAATGAAGTAGTTTGTTGCCTCATATGTCGATTAAATTAAATAAGTGGGCTGAGGTGCTATAAAAAGTTTGTCACATAAAATGAAAATATGTATTGTGTTGTTACTAACAAGCTTAACGAGCTACTCGTGAAACTCGTTAGCTTGCTCGTTAAGCTCGTTAAGCTTAACGAGCTAAAATCAATAATTGGCTCTGTTCATTAAGAAGCGAGCTACGAGCTTAACGAGCTGAACTTCCGACCGCTCATTAAGCTCGCGAGCTACGAGCTTGCCCTATCCAAGAAACCCAAAGTGTCTGATTATCTCACATTGTAGAGACACCGAATGAATTTGAACCACGTGATAAATAAAATTATATCATGTAGGCCCCGCTTAGGAAGCTGTACTTCAAATTTTTTGTGCCTTTTGTTTTGTATATATTGTGGACACGACGCGAATTGAGGACGAATGAGTTCGTAAAGGAACATGGCGGTGCAGCTGCTCGCCCGGCTCCCGCCGTCAACCCCCGTGCTGGCGCCGGCGCCGCACATCATTCAGCAGCGCCCCAACGGCCACGTACGAAGAACCTCCCACCTCCATGGCCAACCGCGCTCTCTCCCCGACCTCCCCTGCCTTCCGTCGCAGCCCCTCGTCGGCCATCGCCGCGCGGACCCTCTCCGCCACCTTCTCCCTGCCCACCACCACCCCGCCCAGCTCCTCGCCTCCCCACACGTACCTTCTCTCCGCGCCGGCGCCGACGCCCGTGCCGGCGATGCCCACCACCAGCGCCTCGTTGTAGAACTGCTCCGCGAAAACCGGCCATGTCACCACCGGGACACCAGCCGCCGCCGCCTCGGTCACCGCGCCCCATCCGCAGTGCGTCACGAACGCGCCAACAGCCGCGTGCCTCAGCACCGCCACCTGCGGTGCCCACCCCCTGACCACCAGCCCGCGGCCCCCCGCCGCGGCGTCCACGTCGGGGAGCGGCGGAGCGTTCTTGTCCCCGACGACCCACACGAAGTTCGCGCCGGAGTCCGCGAGGCCCATGCCGAGCTCCGTCACCTGCTCGGGCGGGAACCGGGTGAGGCTGCCGAAGCAGACGTACACCACCGACCGCGCGGGCTTCGTGTCGAGCCATCCCAGCACGCGTGCGGCCTCCGCGGCGGCACCCGGCTCCCCGCCGCGGCCGCGCTCCAAGACGTCGTCGCCGTCGCCGTTGACGAGGCAGACCGGCCCGACGGCGAACACCGGCTTCCCGGTGTCCTTCTCGTAGTGCTCCATGTACCTCTGCTCGAGGTCGGCGAACGAGTTGACGACCCAGCCGGCCGTGGCGCGCTCGATGTCGAACATGCGGTTCAGGAACTCCCGCGAGTCCGCGCCGGGGAGCGTCGCCTCGGCGAGCCTCGACCTGGTGAGCCGCACCGCGTCCGGGAGCCCCGGCACGAGGAACGGCTCCGTGGGCGACGCGACGCTCTCCTGCGGGGTGTGGAGGAGCAGGGACCGCTGCACCGAGAGCGCGAAGCAGCCGGTGCCGGTGAACGCGTACCGCGGGATGCCGAGCTCGGCGGCGGCGGTGGCGGCCCACGGGAGGACGCCGTCGAAGACGACGGCGTCGGCGGGGTGGCGGCGCAGGAGGTCGGCGAAGAGCGGCGCGAGGAGGTCGACGGCGACGGCGAACGGGCCCGCGTCCTCGCGGGTGGGGAGGTCGTCGGCGCTCTCGTGCCCGCCCGTGAGCCCCGCGGCCTCGGCGGGCAGGGGCAGCGCGTGGACGCGGATGCGGAGGCCCGCGGCGGCCGCGCGGGCCACGGGGCCGCCGAGCCTGGCGGCGTTGGCGTGGGTGAGGACGAGGGTGGCGTCGGCGCCGCGCGACGCGAAGAGGCGGGCCAGGTCGGACATCGGCAGCGCGTGGCCCGGCGTCGGGAACGGGATGAAGTACATGCGCGGCGGCGCGTCGCCCGCCGGTGTGGCCGCCGACTGCCGCATCCCGCGAGCTCGATCGGCGCCGGGGAGTGGTGATGACGGAGAACGGTGGGCGTGCGATCGAACACTTGAACAGGATGGATGCTGCCGTCACACGGACAAGCTAGTGCTTTGGAGCGAGTGTATACATAGGCGCCATGAATGAAACAAAAAGATGATGCCGGCACGAGAGCGCGGGAAATTCGATTCCACGCGAGCTGCGCTGCGCTGAGCTTACTGCTCCGGTACAAAGATTACACGTTTGCTGTGTGTTGCAGCAACGGCGTTCGGTTGCAACCTGAGAGATTCAGATAGGTCTCCATTGGTTACATCACCGGTTACAGATCGTTAGTTAAGGCCGTTAACCAAGCAAGACATGCGTATAGTCGTTTGATTTGATTTCTTCTTGGTTCCATCTCGAAGGCACGTTTACTAGTCTCCCCAGTATTTTGGGTCATATTTTGACCATGACTTTAATTAATAAAATAGAGGTAATATCATCGATAGTCATAGAACTTACGTTTGATGTTTAGTTTAGTGTTAAAATTTTAAAAATACGGATTTATGGTCATCCAACTTGCATTCTCGTGTAAATACGGTGCTTTCTCTCGTACCCAGCCATATGGCATGCCAACATGGCGTGCTAGGCTGGCGGTTGTCAATGGCTGGGAGTGCACAAGACGTTGGGTGACCCTCACACAAATTCTTTATAAGAAACACCCTCGCAATTTATTTAATTGCACACAAAAGACCTCAAATGCAATGCAAAAAGGGCTTTTAGGCAGGTGTGGTTTGAACCCACGACCTGCTAATTAAAAACTAAGCGTACATCCATCCCAGCAGTCCGAGTTGACGCTGAAATACGCAACTAAAATTTGTTGATTTAGTTACACTGAAGTTTGTCCAGGCCTACTCAGATACATAAGCCCACATGTCTACCAGGGTAATTTAGGGGTAGGACACTAGTATACTAACAACGGGTTAAGCTGATCTACGAGATTGTCTTTCGGGCTTCAATCCTTCTCGAGTTCGTCTATCTGGACATAGTTGACGGAGCTCCGACGTAGATTCCTACCGTCTCCTTGAAGGCGGTGAGGTTATGGGTTTTCGACATGTGGCAAGATTTAGTGTCAGGTGCTTCAAATCCATGTAAGGTTAAACAGCGACGACTGCGGCTCCAGGGTGTCGGTCCTTAGGGACACGTGGACGAAAACTTCCCGGCTGTCATCGACAAGTTCAAGCCGGCTCCGGTAGAGAGCGGCGACATCGGCGCGTCGACGGCTCGTTCTGGCGGCAACAGTGGTCGTTCGGTGCTCTCTAAATCTCGATGCAATGTTTATTATTTTTTAGATGCTTTGTACCTCCGGTGAATTTTTATAATAAATCAGATCCTTTTAGTAAAATAAAAAAACCTCAGTCAGCATTTTTTTTGTTTTTTTAACAAAGAGAATGCTTGTTTTAGCAGTGGAACGTGGCCAAATTAACCGCGCTTCACCGGTCGGTCGCTCGGTGCGCACCAACCCAACCCAACCCAACCCAGGCACGGCCAACCCGGCCCAACCCACCGACGCGGCGGCGAGCTCTCCGAGTGCGGCCGCGGGGCCGTACACACCGCGGGAGGGACCGTGAGCTACCTAGTGCTGGCCTGCCCACTCTCTCACTAGTCACTCCCCACACCGGCGCGGCGCCACCTCCCCCTTCCTCCTCATATGGTCTCCCGCCGCGCGCCCCGCACCCACCGCTAGCGAGCCGCCCCACTCCAGCCCACCCATGGCCGCGGCGTCGCTCGCCCGCCTCTTGCCGCTCCTCCTCTCCCTCCTCCTCCTCCTCCTCGCCGGCGCCGCGCGGGGCAAGACGGTGAAGAGAGACGGTACGTGCTCGCTCCTCCTCCGCCCCCTTCGTTCGAGCGAATCGATCCCTCCCGGCAGGCCCTTTGATGCGATTACAGCGAGATGGGCGTAGGCGCGTAGCTGTTTGCTGGAGATCTGACCCAGCCTCGCGCGTAGGACGCTGCATTCCCCTGCTGGTTTGTTGGAGGTGCTGAATTGGGCGTCCGCTTGGTAGGTTGCCGAATTGGGGTCCCTGATACTTACGGTTGTAGGTTAGTTTCAGCATCTGTGAGGCTGAGACGCTGCCTGGGCACTTAGCGTGACAGTAGGATCTATCCTTTGTTTGTCTCATTATTACTACAGGTGATTAAATTCGCCGTGCTTTAGATAATTGGTGCTCATGGCACTTAAGTTTCTGCGCATGATCTCTGAAAGAAAATGAGCTGGTGATGTCATATGTTAACACAAATCGGGGGCTCACCTGGTGCCAAGCGATAATTGGCCAGGACTTCATGATTCAGTTGTAGCCGAACATCATTTTCCCTGGTTGCGTAAGATATTGCTTGGTGCCTGATTGTGCCAGGAGGAGAGATTTGTATGTTAATAGAGGCGTATACATTATGCAGAACTGGAAACTTATGGTGGCCGTTCAGTAGTTGCTCGGTGACTGTCTTAACTGAAGTTGTGTTTGTACTGCAGTGAAAGCGTTGAACGAGATCAAGGCTTCACTAGGCTGGAGAGTTGTCTACTCATGGGTCGGCGATGACCCTTGTGGGCATGGTGACCTTCCCCCCTGGTCCGGTGTGACATGTACTCAGCAAGGGGATTACAGAGTTGTCACGGAACTGTAAGACATGTCTTCATTTCTTGACTTTACTCTTCTTTTTTTACGTTGGCATACATAAAGTTTTGTAAGGATGTTTTATGATGTAAGCATTTGCATGTGAAAGGATACAAAACTGTCGTTACATATTTAGTTTAGTGAGCTCCTTTTCATACAGAAATTCAATTCATACATGTATGTAGCCCATCCAAATTGTAGGCTTGCAGCCACCTGAGATACGTCAAGCTACAAGAAAGTCACTCCTTCAGTAGCTTTCTTGCTTGAAATCTTCAAGATGCAATCTCAACCTGAAGAACTGCAGACAACCATTTGTTCTTGTACATTCCAACTATAGATCATGACCAGGATTAGAAGAAACTAATAAATCATGCCATGTATCTTGCCTTGTACTTCATACCTACTCTGACAGTAGTAATTTTAAACTGTTCTGGTACCGGTTAAAGGGAAAGTTGTGTGCTTTGCTTGTATGGTAAATTCGCTTTCCTGTGTTTGAGATAATTGAATAAATAAGATTTTTAGCATAACACAATCTTTAACCAATCGATGCATGTTGCCTATGGATGTTAACTTCATTAATTGCACAATCAGGCACTTTGTCTGAAGCTGTTGTGTACTGTCCATGTCAGAGTAACCATATTATACCACTTTACCTTATTTCAGGGAAGTCTATGCTGTGTCCATAGTTGGTCCATTCCCTACAGCGGTAACAAACCTGCTGGATTTAAAAAAACTGTAAGGACTTTTTCCTTGTTACCACTGCTTTTATTCTCCTGTTCTGTGTATGCATCTTGATGCGTGTGATAATGAACTGTTGGCATTTTTTTATCTACTAAGTGTAACAAGAACTTTTTCCTGTTCACCGCTACTCTGTCTTCTGTGTAAGTGTCTTGATGAACATAGCGATAACCTGTTGCCATGATTGAAGTGATGAATTTACTAACTGTCAAGTTTGTAGTGTTTTAGCATAACCATCACTCCATCAGCACGAGTACATGAACATGGCAAGACATCCATGTAGATGTATATATTATTGTGAAAGTTTATGTTTCTCTTTATGTAATGTGCCATGGTTTCTGAATTTACATAGATCATTAGCCAGAATTTAGGAACTAGCGTATTCTGAAAACATTGCTTAATTTACATCAGCCTTTTATTGCGGCTGAATTACACTTTTCTGCATATCAAGTGTTTATTCCATTTATTCATTGTAGAAGTATCCTTTTCCCCAAAAAACTATATTTGAGACTAAAGTTGGTTATTTTATCAGATACTAAAGGTGGTTATTTTATCAGAGACTAAAGGCTGTACTAAACATATTTGTAATTTTCAGCTTATGTTACCTCATCTTTAACACATCCTTGAACTGGGTATAATTGGATTCCATAACTATAGGGATCTCCACAATAATAAGTTGACGGGGCCAATTCCTCCACAGATTGGACGGCTGAGACACCTCAAGATATTGTAAGTATGGAATGTCTTTGTATATTGAATCATAATTACTTTGTTGGCATTATGGTTCAGATTTCAGAGCTGCCTGTTTTGAGTACAGTTGTTCTTCAGCTAAGCAAATTCGTGCATAATTTTAGGAACCTGAGGTGGAATAAGCTTCAAGATGTGCTACCGCCCGAAATTGGTGACCTAAAGAAACTCACACACTTGTAAGTTCATTTTTAGAATGAACTAGATTAGTTACGTCTCAGTTTCTGTGCCTCTGACTATTATTCTTCAGGTATTTGAGCTTCAATAACTTCAAAGGTGAAATTCCCGTGGAGCTTGCAAACCTACCAGAACTACGCTATCTTTATCTCCATGAGAACCGCTTTACTGGGCGGATCCCCCCTGAGCTCGGAACTCTCAAAAATCTTCGTCACCTGTAAACTTCCATCCCAATTCCCTCCTTTCAAGTTCACATGAAAAAATATCTATAGTACCAAATATTAAGTCTTTTCTCTGCAGCATATGATGAATTATAAACCCTCTCTTTTTGCAGTGATGTTGGTGGCAACCACTTGATAGGCACTCTGAGGGATGTCTTCAGCATTGAGAATGGCTTCCCCTCCTTGAGAAACCTGTAAGCAGAAATTTTTAGAAGCTACCTGATTCATTTGTTCTCTCGTGACTGCAAAATGCTGCCTTCCTAAGCCAGTAGGCTGACTGCTATACATTGTGGTCTGCAGATACGTTAACAATAATCAATTGGCTGGAGTGGTGCCAGATCAGATTGCGAATTTGACCAACCTTGAGATCTTGTAAGTTCTCTCAGCAGTTGAAGTCAACACTTTATCAAGACATCATCATAAGCTCCAGTTTTCTTTCCCCCCTGGGAAGACCTCTTGCACAAAATAAAAGTAAAAAAAACAATCACCTGATTATCCTTGTATGTTCTGCAGGCACTTGTCCAATAATAGGCTGATTGGATCGATATCGCCAAAGCTAGTTCAAATTCCAAGATTGACATATCTGTGAGCCCTGCTGCTTAAACTTTCTAAAATTTAGTCTAGTGTTTGATCAATCTGAACCTTCCTCTTTCATTTGGTTCTGGCATTCTCAACCACTATGATTCTTGGCAGGTATTTGGACAATAACAACTTCATTGGAAGGATTCCCGAAGGATTATACAAGCATCCATTTCTGAAGGAGCTGTGCGTTTGCTTTAGAATCTAAACTTTTTCTCAAACAAATCCCTTTCATACTATCGAAAAGAATTATTCTACATGCGCAATTGCTGAGGTGCGTATGTATTGCTGCAGGTACATTGAGGGGAACCAGTTTAGACCAGGAAGCAGATCAAAAGGAATGCACAAGGTGCTCGAGTTGCCCGAGGCCGACCTCTCGGTTTAACCGGAGCTCATAAAGTGTGGGCCTGTTGTTTATTCCGCACGACAGCAGCCACCTTTCTACATCTCCACACGACGCGGTCGCGAAATGCACGTGTATTTTAGGACATATATGTATGATTAGTAGTAACATCAGCTATGTTTCTCGCTGTGCCGTAAAATGCTAAGTTTACACGTAAGAACTACTCAGAAATCAGTTCAGTTCACTGTGAAATCCATAGCCAATGAATTGTGATCTTGCCGTGGAAGAGTGTGCGGGCTGTGCTGCTTTTTTCATGTACCGAGACGCGCTTGAGAATCAGATGCGTTGCCAGCTGCATGGCACCGACAGCCATGGACGGTGTGGCCAGCCGGTGTTTGTGTGTGTGGCCAACGATATTTGCATTTTGCCTTGCCTCGCTCCCCTGGACATGATCTGGACTTTTGGGCATGAATGCACGCTCCAAACCGGGGGGCAAGTGGGAGCGAGAAGATGCCAAGACCAGGCTGGCCGGAAGACCTGCCCCAGATGAAGGGGCACCATACATCAATCCTCATACCATGATGACACAATTTACAGGCTGCATCAGATCAGGAAGATGGCGATGATGCAGGTGAGAAAAGAGACGAGCTGAGGCGAGAGCCAGGACACCAGCGTGCAGGCTCCAGGTGTCAGGGCAGAACAGAAGAGCCACATGAATATGAACATGATCGCCTGCTGCCAACAGTTTGATTGGATGAGCGGCTGCAGCAAGGAATACATACACACATACTGTCAAAAGCACATGCATTTTTTGACACACGGATACCTTTGCTGGCGCTGGTGGTCCGTGTATGGTATACGGCTGTTGGTATCCCTGTTCCTTGTAGCATGATTCATCAGTCTCAAGGATCACGCTGTCGCCAGGCGGTTACGATCATCTCATCAGAGGGGGAAAAGACGAGCAGATTAGGCCAATCCCTGTCCCGGTTGCTGTTGCCAGGGTGACATTATACGCCTGCCCATCTGCCCAGCAGTGGCTTGCCACATGCGAGGTTCTTGTCCTGCTCTCTGAACTGCTGCGTGCATTTCAAGCCGTGGATGTGTGAGACTGAGACTACGGGCGCTCTTGATCTGTTCGCCATGGATCCGCGAACAGTTCCCTCGAGTTTTTCTGTCTCCCTCGCACATAAGCGTCGCTGTCCACGGCACATGGTCCTTGGTCATCGCTTTGTGCTGTCTTCCTGTTCGAAAACCTGTGCGTGCTGTCTTTTGCTGTGCTGGACCAGAAGAGGTGCCTCATCGTCGGCGAGAGCTGTGGGTAGGTGCCCCACGCAATTACCTCCAGTTAATCATGATCAAATGTGTGAACCTCCTTACAGAGATATTGAATAAGAAAAACCGATCGAGGTCAGGCTCGGATCACAGTGGATACCCTGCAGTTTGTGCTGACTTGGGCTTGTGAATGCGATGTGATACCCGGACATGTGATGTGATGCGTTCCTGTAGGACTGCTTGCTTCGTTAAACCCGCACGTTGCAACTTTACAGCGTCAATCAGGCCAGCGGCTGCTGTCAAGTCTTGACGATGTCAATAAGGTCAATGCGTGCAAAATCTTCTTTTCTAGTGGCCGATAGCGACGAGGAAGGAAGGGGTGCGTGCGTCACATGCGATCTGCAGAGGTCATGGAATTCTCCTTTCCCGTGCGTTGGAAACATGTACCCTCTCAGTTGCTAGATATAATTTTTTTTAGAGATTTTAATATGAACGGAATCTACACTTTAAAATATGTTTATATACATTCGTATATAGTCTCTATTGAAATCTCTAAAATGGCGTATATTATATTTAGAAATGAAGTCGACTGGACTTCATTAAGTCTCATTCGATGCCATGTTCGTAAAATCTTAAATGAAGATTCGTGAAAAAAAATAGTTTTTTTTTTGCTTTCTACATCTTCTATCACTCAGGTAATCCTTGGTCAAGTCTCAGTCGACAGATCTAACCACACTCATTTAGAAACGGAGGTTAGTAGGAGTACACAGCCGGGCAGCGTTGGAGGGTTAGGTCCGCCGACCGACACCGTTGGTGGGTGCACGACGCTCTGCCGATGTTGTCTGCTGCTCATATGCTTCTGTGTTTTCCGCTGCAGCTATCAGCTGCCATCTTATATTAAACTCAAACACACAGAGGTTGATGTACTACGTACTAGCAAAGATACCATGTTTTGGGCTGCCAGCCATCTTCCCTACTTCTTTCCTCCACGAAAAACATGTAAATAAAATATTCCCTCCGTCCGCGAATAAGTGTACAACATCTAGCTTTTGTTTTTAGTCAAAATTTTAAAGTTTTGACCCACTCCATAGAAAATAGTAGTAACATATATGACATCAAATTTGTATATTATGATAGTACATTTCAAAACGGATCTAGTGACACTAATTTAGTGCTATAAATATTTTTGCTTTTTTCTAAAAAATTGGTCAAAATTTTAAAACTTTGACTTAAAAACAAAAGCTACCTTTTTTTTAAGGTGTAACTAGGGATTTATTCAAAGTTCAAACAGTTTGGAATACAAATAATGTCCGAAACAAAAGCTACCTGTACACTTATTCGCGGGCGGAGGGAATACTGCTGTGTGGCCCGATGAGCCTACCGTCTATTTATTTTTTTTCCACCTAATTTCACCCTCTGCGCGGCGAATCAATCAGGACGCACGAATGGGGTCACCTGGACTGCTGGAGCACCTCGGCTTTGCCTTTTTGTTTCTTGTTTTATGTTTCATCATCACCAAACCAGTGTTAAGAAAACACAGAGGGCAGGGCGCCACCGAACCGAACCCACGGGGTTCCTAGGTTGTGAGTCATGGTTTGATTCTGCTCGTTTGGATATTGCTCTGGGCACTGGGCAGGACGAATGATTGACATGCTGCTCTATCCACGCCACCCGATTTCTCACCCCTTTTTATCCGTGAGGTTTTGGTAGGGGTCGTGGAGTTGTTCGATCGGCCGGAAAGCCGTATCAACGAGAAATCTCCTCCAAAAGCTTCTTCTCGAGAAAAAAATATTACGAGTGCACTGAAACTCTGAAAGCAAGGAGCAAACCTAGCACCACTAGTCAATGCTACTACTACAATGCTACATTGACAACTTGATTAAACTCGCTGCTCCGGCGAGAGCAACACTTAGAGGTCACGGGTCAGTAGAGCAGAGACCACATCAACTTGTCCTTGGAAATGTTTCCCTTTTTTTGGGCTGTCTGTCTAAATTAACGACTAGCAAAAGAACAGAAATAAACGGAGTAATCTGCATGTATGGATTCTTCTTTGCTTTGAGGTTGCTTACCACACACTCCTTTTTTTTAAGAAAAAGAGGATGACTCCCGACCTCTGCATCTGGACGATGCATGTGACCATTTTATTAATTATTTTCATAAGACCTTATAAAGTCATACAGCAGTAATACTGAAGCCACCGTCTAAGCAACAACTGTCGCTACATCTATCTAGTTGATGAAGGGGCGCTACGCCCTGAGCCTAATACCAAACAGACATCGCAGCCAAACCTAAACATCTAAGACCTGAGGTCCCAACCAGGACGCATGCCTGGTATGGGGCACCTACCAGTCCGGCGCACTCCTCAACCAGAACGCCTGCCGAGTATGGGGCCGCCGCAGCCACCTGCCACGAGTCCATCTTCAGAGCTGTACTATTGCATCTCCCGTACCAGGTCACTCAGCCATCGACGCCACCACAACGCCGGACAGCGTCGTCCTCCTGCGCGAGTCCATCCTCCCACATCGAACTCCGAATCTGCACTGCGCCATGCTGTCCAGATCCGTCGCCATTAATGTATGGATGAAGCACCGATCCACCAAAGAAGTCGTCCGCTGGTCCCGCGAAGCCGAGTGCACCTCCAAGAATGCCGCCCCCAAGGGGGTTACGACACATGATTGCCGCCAACATCCGATCAGCCGATCTAGGGTTTCCCCCGGAGGTATTGAGTGGAGTTGGGGGCTTCACCTCGATGATGCCTTCATGAAGGAAACGATAATAAGGGCATCGTCATCACCGTCTTCGGCCATCGACCGAAGATCAGGTTTTCACTCAGATCCGTCCCAAGAAATCCACCCAACAACGTGTGCACCGTCTTGACCGCCTTCAAAGCCCCAGATCCAGCCGCCTAGATCCGGCGACCAACCGCAGCAACAGTGCCACCGTGGGACCCTGGCGCACCGGCCACTGCCTGAGTGTGCCACCACTGGAGCCTAGGAGGAGGGCTCCCACCCCGCCTCGCCAAGCCGCGAAAACCGCCGAGAAGGATCCCGCGCGCTCGTCGTCGTCTCTGATCCGAACCAATCCATAGCAGATCGCCGCCACAGATCCGCCTTGGATAGGGACTGCACCACGCCATGCCGCCGCGGGAAGCCCAAGCTTCACCGGCCTCCACCCTCCAGGGTCGCTGCCCTGGGATCCAGACAGAACTTTGCCGCTGGCACCGGCCAAGTTCCGCCGCCGCCGACCGGCCAAGCCACCGGTCACTGCATGACCATGTGAGCACAGCCAGCCGGCCTACCAACTCCGACGAAGAAGAAGAAGGCCACCACCACCAAGCCTAGGGCCGGCGCCCCAGACATCCTCATGTTGCAGATCAAGTCCAGGAGCAGTGCCCCGCCGACGGCGATTGAGATCGGTAGCACAACGAATTAGCCCGACATGAGTCAAGGCCAGATCCGTCGTTGCTGGTGCCGTCCTCCCCCGCCACCGCCGCATCACTTCCATGTCGCCGCCGATCTGCGCCACCGCCGCCGATCTGGCCGGATAGGAGCGCCGCCTCCCAACCAGATCGAGATCGGAGGAGAAACCGCCGCCGCCACGCCACAAGGGCTTTGCCCTGTGACGCCCCGGGCGACGGCGGCGGAGGGGAGTGGAGGAGGGGCGAGGCTGTAGGAGGAGGGCGGGGGCTCCCCGGTGTGGGGCGGCGCCGCCGCACGGAGGAGGGACGGGAGGGAAAGGAGGGGAAGGGCTTACCACACACTCCTACACCA